GGCTAAAACCTTTGTGAAAACCGCAAGATCATGTCTTTGTTTCTTTGGTATGAACAGATGCAGACCGAGACCTTAATGCGACTATACTATGCTATGATCACTGTCAAGGCAAGAATGGCACGAAGTATCTCGTTCAAACGCTGGGAGTCCGGTACGTGATGGTTATCTTTCACCATAGACTTCTTTATTCTAGAAAACCTGCCAGTTCTACGACGGAGCCATTGAGCACGTGGCCAAGGCAACGAAGGGCGTTAAAGAAAACCTCACTAATGGGCGCCAGGAGTCATGGTGACGTCATGACGACGTCACGAGCTCATTATAGTGTTAATAACCCACTCCGCTTCTTCGAAAGGGTAAAGCCGTTCATCGGTTTTAATGTGGTACTTGTTTAGCGCTCAAGCGTAGGGTTCTTGTTTGCACCGTCTCAAAGCGTCGCGCTACAATCACCACAGATTGGGCGAGGATGAACGGGTGCCTGCACGTTACTCCGCCCTCCGCCAGCTCCGCTACAACGTTCGTCGGTTCATATAGGTTCGTCCCTGGACGCGCCTACTCTATGGGAACATCGTACGGGAACATCGTACCCGATTTGTATGATTGAATTGTAAGCGTGGAACGTATTTGCGACACTGATCCTGCAGTACGAATTATGCACAAAATTCCTCAAGGTGATCGGCGTAGTCAACGTTGGGCATAGTTTTGTTTTCGTTCCCGGTGTCTGAAGAAAGCATGCTTCGAAAATGCCTGAGGCCTGTCCGTAGAAAACACCTTGCCTCCTGCATGATGTACGAGTAGCGTTACTGCGGCTTACGAGTTGAATGCTGTTGGCAGTATACAGAAAGAGGCCAGGTATGACGTAAGTGGATAGAACACTGACATTTGTTTTTACGACCTGCACTGTTTTACATGATTGGTGTGGTAAACCCAAGTCCACAAAGTGTCGATCGAATACATTGCTTTTGCCTACGCTCTGTTAAGATTGTTATGGCTGCCTGCATAAAATTGCGTACTGCATGTTTACACTCCCTTCAAGGCGCTTTCGAACTCAGACAAGAACCTCTTGTAACAGCCACGTTTAAATGAGAGAAGGGGAGCAAGTCAACCAACAGTGACATACATGGCGGTCACTCTACGTGATCGGATGGTTTCGATAGTGCATGCGTTGGTGATCATTGTTTCGACAGTTTCGACACGGTTAGTTGTTTCCAGTGCAAGGCTCATACGGAACATTTTTCGCATAACTTACGCAAAGTAGCTCAGAGATGTTTGCCTCTTTGCTAGATCAACCATACATTCCGGCATTCCAAAACAGAGTAGGTTGTGGCCCTAAAAACTGTACATTTCCAGGCGTCGTCATTTTTGTTGAGACGGCAACCTGTTGCACGACGGCACGTGTCGCCATTTTGTTTTAGACTATAGCACAAATGCAGGGCAATTCGCTTCTTCGAATTTCGATTGGGCGAACGTCCGCGCCAAGTGCCAAGTCTCTTTACGTATCTCACGATTCTTAACGTCCCTTACCTTTCTTGGCGTGCAAATATTTATGGCGTGCGTTGAGGGAAAGAGGGGCCAGACTTTTGGCACACCAGCCGGCCTTGTCCACGTCAGAAGTCAGGGGCAAAGAAGCATGCATCACTTCCACTCGTTGGAAGGTTATGAAACGCAAGGCGTGACCTATTGCCTTTACGCTTTATACTTTGTGATTCGCTCTCCGTCGATCTCATGGGCTAGTGCCACAGTCCTATAGGCCGCGGAGTGATTGTAAGACGCACAATACCTTGCCTTGTCATGACGTCATGAGTTGTAATCTTGACTACTCATTATCAGTTGCGGTTCGATCATGTGCGTAAAACCTACGATGGAACCTTGGAGTAGTAGCACCCTTAAACCAACATCGACACGGTTGCCACTCTGAAATTTCACTGATTTTTATCAATAAAGGAAGAACTAATCCCAAATAAAGACGTCACAGTAAGCGTTTGATCATTCACAAATGAAGCCCAAAGCAACGCGTTTGGTCGCTGACGTTGCTAATACTGGCCATGGTTATACTGAGCCGTACCTCGACATAAGTTCCCTCAAGGTAGTCCTATGTGAACGGCCCTTTTTTCTGTTACTTTGTTTTCCCCGTTTACAATGTTTTTCGCTTTCCCTTAAACACACAAACCATTTTTAATTTTTTTTTTTGCGAACAGTTGGTTTATTGTGTGAACCACCGACCTTGAGAAGCACTACGAAGTTTCCCTTGTCCAGCGCGCCCGGTCTGTTTAAGTCCTCGCTAACTTTTTCCTGCTTAGCTTTTCTCAACTCATAAATCGCGCATTCTACCAAACAGTTCAAGAAGGCGGAAAGGGGAAAGTTCCCTCTTGCTTGGACTCTCGTCAGTGTACTCGGACACAGCCATTCTCCCCCTAGAAGATTAGCCCGTCACTCAAAGTTCAGACAATAGTTGCTTTCCCCACCCCGTTCACCACGAAGCTGACAGTGCTGTGGAAGCTACGTGCTCGTTGGGTCAACCACACTTTGCCACGTGATCACATTCTCGCGCGCATACCCACGCGCAGATAATAAGGTCAGGTGATGAAAGGGAGGCGGCTGATTGGTCCGGCAGGCGCGTAGCTTCCACCACAACAATGTCAGCTTAGGGGTGAAGGAAATAATTGAGGTCCGGCTGTCGTGTGACGTTTGCTTGGGCCCGGTGACGCGCTGCGGGAGCCCGGTGACGCGCTGCGAGGGCCCGGTGACGCGCTGCGGGGACCGCGGATGTATCACAGTGAAAAGGCAGAGAGCTTACGAAGGGAAGAAGGTACGAGAGAGTTTGCTGTGTTTTAAAATTTTCGTACTGAAAGTTAGGCTTTTGACTTTCTACCTTTTTTTCTTTTGGCTCACTAAATGATGTGCTATTTATTTATTTATTTATTTCGGGTTACCCCGCAGCGCCCGAAGGCATTATTGCAGGGGGGGAGGAGGTACATATTTGTGAGGGTACATACACACGTGCATATGTACCAAAAAACAAGAAATAACGCAAGCTCACAGGAAAACACACTCAATCAAAAGCAAGCCGAGAATATGATGAAAGAAACATCGGTGACTCGCATTCCATGTACGTGCAAGATAAAAGAATCAGCTGAGGAAAATATGTGCTAACAGCAAAATTAAATAACTCACTTGCCGCATGACACAAAAAAACACACACACACACAGATGTAGTTTTATCAACTTCGTTCAAAGAATAATAAAGTAATCGAAGTAGGAACAAATAAACATACAACAGTACCGCGCCCAGTAATCACTCGAAATTCGCATCGTGAGGATCAAAACATCTTCCTAGTCATGTTAGTCTGGCCAGCTGTCACGTGACAGTCTGTCAAAGAAAAGTGAGTTTGACAAGATAGAAACGGTGTCATATGGCAGGACGTTCCACTCTTTAATAGTATTGGAAAAAAATGAATATTTCAGAACGTTGGTTCGGGCTGTCCATTCTCTAATTTTTTCCGAGTGATCTAATCTCCTAGATACGAAGTTGGGGGGTTGAATAAACTTAGCTTTATTAATTCCGGTTTGATCACGGTAAATTGCGTGAAGAAACTTCAAACGAAGACGTCTTCTTCTGGAGGAAAGTGGCTCCCACTCTAATTGCCTTTTAAGAGCGGTAGCACTTTCTCTGCAATTGTAGATTCTTGTGACAAATCTCGCAGCCCCGCTCTGTACTTGCTCTATTTTTTTCCCCGAGTGACTCTCTTTTGGGTCCCACAGGACACACTGGCGTACTCCAGTATCGGCCTAACGTTAGTCTTAAAAAGAGTTGCTTTAGCAGTTTGGGGACAGTCCCTAAAATTACGTTTCAAAAAGTTTAACATGCGGTTGGCATTGGCCGTGACGAAGTCGATGTGTGCGCTCCATGACAAATTATGAGAAAATTTAACACCTAGATACTTTACTACATCCTCCTTCTTTAGTTGGACGTCGCCGATCGAGTACGCAAAAGTTACTGGCTGTTCCAATATAATTTGATTTATTCCGGCCCGAAATTCGTTTCATTGTCCCTTTAAGGACGAGACTGTTCAGCCTCTGTCTTGCAGAAATCGAGAGCGCTTTCTACGAAGGCCTTCCGCCCTCCCCCGGAGAGCGCCATCGTGCTGAATGCATTGGACCCCTTTTTCGGGATGACGGCAGCGAGCACCTCGAGGCCGTTCTTTTGTTCAAAGGGTGGATAAATCGCCGGAGATTTCCTTATTGGGAGCACGTGGGAAAGCAGTTTCCAGTAAAATGTACCTGCACTCAACGAACAGTTCTAAATACGATCAGTTTGTCCGCCTTCCTTTTTGTTTTCGAGGTTGCTTTGGTTAAGCACTTTTTTTTTAATACAGAAGGGGCAGCCTTCTGCCCCTTCTGTACACTGTTAAAAAAAGTGCCGTTATTTTACAGAACCGTACTGCGCTAACTCATGATGCCAGACATTATCTGTAACCTTCCGTAATACCACCAAAGCCGTAGCTGACAGTTTACATTATCATTTCTGTACAGCAGACATACAGCAATAGAAGCGCAGTACGCAAGTACAGGACTAAAGCCGCAAACTTAGCTCCAGGTATCCAAGCCGTCGAGTGTTCAGACGGTATTGAAGGCGTAAGGGAAGGGTACGGTTTCAGTCCCGTATTTTCATACTGCACTTCCATTGCCGTATTGTAACGGTAACAGTTCAGTTACCGTACCCTTCCCTTACGCCTTCAATACCGTCGGAACGCTTGACGGCTTGCATACCTCAAGTTTAGTTTGCAGCTTTAATCCCGTACTTGCGTACTGCACTTCTATCGCTGTGTGCTCGCTGTACGGTAACAATAATGTGAACTCTCAGCTACGGCCTTGGTAGTATTACGGAGGGTTACAGATAACGTCTGGCATCATGAGTTAGCGCAGTACAGTTCCGTAATATAACGACAAATCCTTATAAACAAGTGTAGTGTGTCTGAAAAAAGGGACAAGACAAAACGGAGGCAGTTTTGAAATTGAAGAACTATATTGTAAACCGTAAAAGAACATAATTATAAAGAAACCTTCATGGCATCCGATCGATCATCAGATGAGCTGAAAATAAAACAAATTCATATTCAGATGATTGAAAAGGCTACGGGAGGACCACAACCACTTGCACAAATTGCAGAGGCGCACGCACATGAAGTCACAAAAACCTGCACAGCAGGGGCTCCCAAGCTCACAGAGCGATGCTCTAAGCCTCTGGTAGCAGCGCGCAAAAACACAAGGACAAAGGGAGGAAATGCACAAGGCGAGCGCTGAACTTCAACTAAATGTTTAATGAAAAGGAAACACCGAAGTCCTGTGCATTCGTCCCTTTGTCCGTGTGTTTTTGCATGCTGCTACCAGTTATAATCATGCACCAACTCGCCTGTGCATTGCCACATTGAGCCACTCAGCACCATGACAGATCAAGGTTGCTGCCCTCGACCCCTGTGAATGCAGTGTTGTGCCACCATTTGCTTTTCTTTTTAATACAAGACAAGACTGGAAACCTTTTGATACCACATCGTACACATGCCAAATCAAATATGTACTCACACTGTTCCATTTTTTCTCAAAAGCAGCAAGATCTGTGGCGGCTTTGATTGCTCTTGCCCGAGCTCCTTTCGACCTCCCGGCCTCCTGTCGTGACCCATCATGTTGTTTGATACCAACCTGGTATCTGAAACAAATAGCAGATTGGCCCATAAGTATTTGGTCAGAAACCAGACAAGTGAAAAAAAATTGCAGTGAAGGATTTGGGATCAGTACTTGCTGATATTTTACATGCACAACTAATGTCGAAAGCCCTAAGCTTTGCCACCAAAGTCACATAGGTGCACAGTTCAAATGTATAAGTGTGTTGAAGGTTCCTGAAATAACAATTAAGCCATAACAAGCTGAGCAAAACCTACATTTAGGCCAGCAGACTGTGCACTGTGCACTTAAAGAAAATATGTCAAGGTACAAATTCATGCCTAGATTGTGAGGAAAATAAAACAATGAGGGAACAACAAAAAAATATTGTAATAATGTGTCATTTTTCTGACAGAGGAGAAAATCTGGCACTCAAGGCTTCCCTCACTCAGATGCGATGGGGATACAGAACTCGGAATATTTCAGAAGTTATAAGCCCCATGTGGCACATCTTAAGGGGTAGGATTCATATATGTAACTTTTAGACCTACAAAACACTAAAAACATGTTGATTTAAAAAGATATTGAACAGACAGCGATGTAATTGATTTGAGTCATTTGGGAGAAGTTTTGGAAGCAAACAAAAGTAAATTTTATAGCAGCGACATAAACAGAAGAACAAGTACATACTTCGCGCCAGGGATGGGCAGTATTTCAAATACAAGTATTTGAACTACGTATTTCAAATACTTTGTGTATTTTGCATTTGTATTTAATTAAAAATTCTGTAATGTATTTGATGTGTGTATTTAAATACTAAAACGTGTGTATTTCAAATACAATTGTAATTAAATACAATTTTGTGGGCGAAAATACATCCCTCAAATTTATTGTCACTGTCCAGAGCAGGAAGAAAACTACGTTCTGCACCGAATGCAGTGTCTCTCAATCAAGCACAAGCGTTTTGTGACTTTGTAATTACGATGCTAGTCCAGGGAAAGAATAGTGACGAAATCGACGTTCACAGGCAGACTGGCTAAATAAGTGACAGTGACAACTTGTGATGCTTTCCAGCCTGATTTCCATCCATACTTTTGCCTCGAACATTCTAAATGCGCGGGTCATCCAGATGTTTGTAACTGGTGCGAGTTGCAACAATAAAAAAATCTGTAGCTAGTGCTGCGCGTCTTGGTCGTCTCGGTCCTTTGATTGTCTATACCAAAATGTAATCAAAAAAAAAAAAAAAAACTGCTTGAAGCTCTGTACTTTTTTCACCTATTACGTCCAAGCTGATTACATTTTTTTTTGTGATTATATTTGTATTACGTTACTAGAGCCTCGAGCACTAACTCCCGAGTGTGCGATGCAAAATTAAAATGAGATGCCCAGAAACCTGTTGCAGGTGCCCTGAAGTCGCTGACGCAAATTTTAAGCAATGTATTTGGAAAAGTATTTGGAAGAGACCAACTACTTTTCTGTCTGTATTTGTATCTTGTACTTAAATACTTTTTTGCTAAAGTAATTAGATTTGTAATTAAATACATTTTTGACGAAGCATTTTGTATTTGTATTTCGATACATATTTGCATGTATTTTGCCCATCCCTGCTTCGTGCTTACTTCTTTTATTACAATACAGCATTAAAATTTGTCTGTTGTCCTACACAGTCACAAAGCAATTCCTTCTCTGCATTTCTACTCGTAATTAAGCAAGCACTCATTTGCATAATTAGTATTGCAGACAGTTGAATGACCTAAAATACTCAACTAGCTGTTAATGATTGCTTAAAAGCACCAGACATGGCAAAAGGAATGTTGTAAGAGAATCATTCTCTTTTTTTAGGAAGCCACATTTTGGCCAGCCACTGTCGAAAGAACATACGATTGATAAACATGTATAAAGACGAGAAAAAGGTATTCAGGTACAAAATCAAACATGAACCACATGCTAATAAAACATGCAGAAATAAAGCTTCAAAAAGTTGTGAAAAGGTTGTATATCAGTCAAATTTAGTTATGAATTAGATGAATTAGAGATCATCTGCACATATCACTTCTAGACACTTTTAGAGTGATACAGAATAGTGTGGTGCAGTAAAGAAACTCTTAAATAAATAATTAGCTGAGTATATTAAACATATTTTGAGGCTCCAATTTGTTTCCAGCCAAAAATAATTTAATGATGTATACTGCTTATGACTCTGCCTTCTAACTGAATGCCAAATAGAATTATAAGTAAATGACACATTCAGTAAAGATAAAACAATAGGAATAGTAGATATATTGACATATTTATTTGTGATTTCTGGGATAGGATCAAACATAGTCACATTGTAACATTAGGTGAAATTTTTAAATCGAATTATTATGCAAGATATAACAACCTTTAAAGTAACTGAAGAGTGCGTTGGTAAAATTCACAGACCACAGAAAGAACAAAACATACCCGGACGAAGGACGACAAACATTTCTTTTAATTAACAACATGAATGAGCTTAAAAACACTTCCTTCAATTCAGACCGCCAAGGAAATTGAGAGAAAGGGAGGCAGAAAGAGAGAAAGGTAAGTGTCAAAAATTGTAAGGAAGGAAATAAGAAAAAGAGTGAAGTAACAGCATGAGTTAAAATTCTAACTTTACACTTTCCTTTTTATCTTCCTGCCTCCCTTTCTCTCCATTTTCTTGGCAGTCTGAATTGCACGGAGTGCTCTTAAGTTCATTCCTGTTGTTCTTAGTTGAAAGAAATGTTTGTCGTCTCCTTCGTCCCGAGCACGTTTTTTTCATTCTGTGGTCCAAGAATACAACACCCTATTGCGGTTTAATAATGGACTCTGAAACTGAGCTTGGAAATGTGGGTAGCCAGTGACAAATTAAAGGGCAACTCTACTCAATTTAGAAAATTTCAAGATAGTGGATGACCTTACTTTGAAAAGCACTCATGAACAACTCTACATTGTTTCACGAAAAGTAGAATATTGTTTGTGCAACTTTGCTATTTATAACTCAAGTCGCAAATTGAAACCGAAACTTCGGCAAAGGGCAAGCAGCGACGTCAGTTGCATGCACACTCATGTCCATGGCAGATGCATGATTACGTGATTTACCCTACTCACTGGGTCAACTCTAGGTAGTGTTGTCTGAACTGACTGGACATGTGATGGCGTTGAAAGAGAAAAAAGCCGGTGTATACAACAGACATCAACATGACGTCACATCTGAAGGAAGTGCCAAAGTTGGCTAGCCTGCACATCGCTCGCTAAAATTAGCAGATTAGCGCTTGTCAAACTTTGAGGGTCCAATTTTATATACAGAAAGATTTCAGTTGTAGCCTTCCTAGATGATTATAAAGAGAACTAATCGTTTTCTCAGCCAAAATTCAGCAGAGTTGCTCTTTATTTCCTCTCATGAGGCTCAAAATTATGAAGGAAATAAACCATACCTCTGAATGAACTCAAGTGTGGTTCCCGCACCTTTGGCATACTGGATGTTTAAACAATAATAAAGTGCGAAAAGGAGCTCCACAGCTTGCAGAAAGCCCACATCTTCCACCATCACCTCATGGTCCACAAACAGCTGGCAGCTGCATTCGAAAAGTGAGCGGCCTAGGAAAGAAACAAGCGATTAATGTAATTAATGCGGAGAAAATGTGTTAGTATCAGATGTATCGACCTATCTAGTCAAGTGACCAGAAAAGTCATGCGACCGACACCACTACGCCGGCTTTTTCTCTAATAGGGCTTTTAACGCTCACGCATTAAATGAAGAAAAAAATACCATTGTCATATTCGCATCTGGAAACTTCTATAGAGGTATTACCAGCAGGGACACTGAATAGGTAGGCACACCGATATAGGATTGTGACGCATATCTGAGATCTGAGACTGAGATGCATCACAATCACAGATAAGGCACACCTTATATGCCAAGCCAAATAAGGGTCGCACTAAATAGTGTTGAGCTACCATACCCAGTAATGACATTAAGTTATGCAAAGTGCTCCTGAAGGTTTGAACAAAACAAAAAATTTGTATATGAGCATGTAGAATCAAACACTTTTTGTTGAGTTTGTGAACAGAATCAGTAGCATGGAAGTCTGATGCCAACGTGCAATGCCAGTCGTCGGTTTCGTTTAAATTGCTTTAGCTAGAAATTAAATGACCGGAGACCGCATGCGACCACACATTCTACGAGCAGAAAATTTGGCTGTTCGGGTTGGACAAGACACAGAATGCAGGCCCAAACAATCAAATGCCTCACAGGCACCTGCTGTTTGGGCTGTATGCCGTTTTGTGGCACCTTCACTCACAAACCAAAATAAAAACTTCTCTTTTTCTTGCTGGATCAATCAAACATTGATTGTCAAAGTATGGTATAATACCAGGACATGTGCTTTACATTGGTGCTTGATAAGGCTGCCGAAACCAAACAATGTGGTCGTCTATCTAGCTCTGGTCAAAATCGGCACACCACCCTTTGGTTACACCACTGCAGTATTCCAGCACTCTGGTTACAACACTACAGTATCCCACTACAATTGAGTCACTAGGAGTCATCTGCACTGACCCCTCTTCTCTCTCTCACTCTTAAAATGGCACTACCCACGATAAAACGGTCTAGGTTGTTGTTCCAAAATTCAACACAAATTAAAAAAGAAAGCACCTTCAAAAATACAAAGCATGCAAGGAAAAGACACATGAAGCTCACCTAGTGCAACAATTGCAGGAGAAGCAGGCAGACTGTTACGAAACTCCTCTGTGATTTCTGTTGTCACCTAAGAAAAGTCAGAAAACATGTGTGGTTAATTGAGAAATGCACGAAATGCTAGTGAAGGTACCATACATCTATGGGTCTATATTTATTCCCACAGAATGTAGAACTGTGGGACACAAGCAAGACGACGTAAGGCGGATCGCAAAGAATGATGCCCGAAGAACTTATCGTGGCCGGCGACTTTACCGCAGATGCACGAATATGGGGATACAAGCGAGACAATGACAGAGAGTGCAATGTCTTCACACCCGCCAAGCAGGCCAATCTATGAATTCTCAAAGAAAAACAGACTGCCATTCGCATTGGCAAACGTCGCACTGAGAACGACACCACAAGACTTGACATGGGCCATACACAACATCCAAGCCCGAGTGCGAACTGCTCCGACGCCTTGGGAAGCAAGCACCTACCCGTCGAAATAGAATTAATGACAGAAAGACACCACAACACTAAATGACAGATCAGCTTCATTAACCTAGCACCTGAAAAAGTGTCTAGGTGAGCGAATAATGAAAGCCACATCCACTCAGAAGTACCAAGCCAAACAAGACGACCCAGACCCCGACCTTCATCTCCTCAACTTGTGTGCTATCAGACTGCAAGCCCAACAATGTTACAGGAGAAATAAGGACTGAAAACTCCAAGCCAATTTCAATGCAAGCACGGTGAAGATAAAAAATACACCCAGAAGCTCCGTAAACAACTGAGGTGCAAGCTCCGAGATAACACACGACGAGTGTGGGGCACATTTAAAGGACTCTGGCAAGAAGGCCGACAACTTTAAATCCACTGCTTCCTGGTACACCAAACCATTCCCAAGTAAATAAAACAGTGTCTGCCGCCGCATGCGAGTTTTTGTCTTCCCTTATCCTTACTATCATTGGTGACAACAGCGCCGCCTTCATTGAAAAAGACACAAAGGATCCCCTATTCTCCCAGGAAGCCAAACAACAGGCCCACTGAAAACACCTCACGGCTCTACTCAAAGAAGACTTAGACCCACCCCCAGATGGTAATTATACCAGGTGGGAAGAGGTTCGCCTGAAAAGACAACGGACCCACACCACTATGGTTTCCAAGGAAACAGCAAAATGTAACACCCACAAGAACATGGTGCATAAGCCGCCATACACAGGAAAAAGACAACAGCCTATGCGCCCACTGCGAGGTCACAGTCACAGAAGCGCACTCCTGGTACTGCCCACACATGCAAGAACCCCAAACCTTGAAAGAGTCTGTTAATCCCACGTGTATTCGGGAATACCAAAAGGCTATTCTCCATTCACCCCTCACTTATGTGAAAGAGGTTCGTCTCACCCACTTTATTTTCATCTCACCCTTATTTCCTTTAACCCTTCATCCCACCTACAGGAGATAGCGTTTGCCGAGATCAAAGGATGCGGTTCCTGTTATTTTCTCACTAATAAGGACATTTTTAACTACAAACATTTGTTGTCCTAACGCTCAATAACAACTAAAAAACAACGTTAAATAAGCAGCAATGTATCTGCTGATATCTGTCACAAAGCCTCATTGTTACACCTGCGGGACAAGGAAGCTGCTAATATTAAAAACAAATGATCCTAACTTAGGAGTCGAAGTGGAAGTACAAACGTTTGTCACTAGTTAATTCTCTAGCACAATTTTTGTGTTAACTCTAACACTCGATCCCAAAAATGCAAAACATCATGTGAACCCATTAGAAGCAAGTGGTACAAGAGTGGGTGCCCACCGCCGCTCCCCCTTTGGTTTAGTGAAATATTTATGTAGAACATACTATAAGATGACCCAGCCTAGAGTTGCATATCTTCCCATTGCACTCTAATGTGAAGTATAATAAGTTGAGCCACCTCAGCCAGGAAAAGATTAAGGAAGGTTTGGCTCCTCGTAGAGCAATAGTAATTTCACTCTTTACGTGCTCATTATCAGCATTGTCGTCAGATACCAAGAAAGCGTTCACAAAGATTTTGCAGACAATTCTGAAAAAGTGGGGGGATGGTCGCTCAGAAAGCGAAACTGCAGAAAGAGTACAAGGCATTGCTCCAATGGTTAAAAATCACTAGGTAGGCGCCTATTCGGACATAGGTGCATGACCGGTATGTTACGGTATACAGGAAGACTGATATAGCTGAAAATTTCAAAAAATGAAGAAAAGTTTAGTATTTCCAGATGCATAGTTTCTCAGTGGAATGCTGACTGCCTGTGTGAGACTTCCAGGAAGTTATTTTCAACAAGGTCATGAGGATGTGTCTTTGGAAACAAATAACCTGGTTATTATGAATGCTCCTACCTGATGTAACTGGAAGAGCTCTCCGAGGTTTTCTTGAAAGTAGGATGCAAGCAATGGGAGGAGGCAGACAGCTGCTGCGTTTTGATCTTTGAACTCTGCCTCGGCCTTGTTGATTTTGAGGCTCCACTCGAGCACAGCATCATTTTTGGGGCTTGAACATAGGAATGTCACGAGGAGGAGGACATCTTTGGGCAGGCTCAATGTTCCGTCCAGACAGACACCTGTAAGCCTTAAAAAATTCATGTTATCACTGACTCCTCATATCCAAAATCTTTGTAATCAAAATACCTTTTTGGGAAAAGCAAAATATTGAAGGAAAGAAATCTGCAAGGACCACTGTATGGTGAAAGTAGCAATCGTATTCGTCGTTCAAAGCACCTTTTTATGAGCATAATAGTGTATGTTTGTTTTCGAAGTGAGTGACTCTTGCAAAGAACTGAACATATTCTGCCTTTTTAAAAAGGAAAGAGTCTCGATCTAAGTGAGTGGGATCCACATCATCTATGACTGAACGCACTTCACTCTCAACGTCTGGTTTTTCCCTAATGTTCTCCAGACCATTGTCATCCTTGCTACAGCATGACGTCACTATTTCATCCTGCTCTACTGGCTCTGTCACCACTGATTTTTTTTTTCCATTCCCATGGCATATGGAAAGATGGGTCATGAGTGAACCCCATGTCCTAAGCTGGCTATCACACGCATCAATTGGACAAGTTACAACAGTTGGCGGGTTGCCGGTGAGATGTTTTTTGAGGTGCTCGATAAAAGCCTTTCCAGGGCTCACCTCTTCACTGCAGGAACTAACACTGCATGTCCGGCAGGATTGGAAGTTAGTTGCATTACGAGGTGCAAGCGGAGAATGACACCTTGTGATGTGGCTTCGCAATGAGTTGTAATTTTTGAATGCAGCCTCACAGCCGACAACGCTGCATGGAACACCTCTTGATGATGTTTCATGATATAATGTGTGCTTGAAGAACGTGTCCAATGATGTAAACTTTTTCTGGCATCTTTTGCAGTGATGTCTCATCTATAACCAAAAAGGAGTGCTTGGTTTATTTCAAGTTGATTTAATATTGAACATGTTTGTTGGGACCCTGAGAAATACAATATCCTAAGACGACATGAGAGCTGAACAATTTGGCTTTCTTTTTTCGGATAGAAGGTCTACTTTAAGTCCCAAGATCTGCAAAAAAACATTTTTCTCTCCCAATTTTGTACTTAAACACATGATCTTTGCATTTTTATAAAGATACCTGAAACATTACCAATATTCGAAGCAATCATGGCGAAGTCCTAATCCAAAGATATTAATCCTTGACCCCAAATTTTTTTATTCCTGCCACAACTGAAGTCAGTGAACATTAAATCAACTGTGCTTGTGAAGATAATGACACACAGCATAAACATACACCTATCTAGAAATTAACACAGTAAGGATTATAAAGCACTTAACGTGAGCTTTCATCAAGTTTCAAAACTAACATTGTGTTTAAACTGAAGTACAAAACAGCCATCCTCAATGTTCTGTGTTAATCTGAAGGCAATGTTTCTATTTACACCAGAAAGATAGAACACCTGCACCAGCCTGTCTACACCTGCAGCGTGCGTGTCGTCTTGTCGTCCAGTCTTAACATACAAAACTATGTTTCCGTGTTCTTTTAGGTTGCCCGAGCCATGAGGAGCTACAGTCTAGCATGCTAACATTGGGCAGTGATATGAATGGCCGCAGTAATTGTCATGTGAAACGTTCGGCTAGGTTGGCTAGGTTTTCGCTTCTGTGCATCTAGCTTGAGAGGTCAGGTGAACAGAGCTCGGCTGGAATGGTATAGCGCCTTGTCATTCATAGCTTGAGCAGTGCAATGAAAGCCAGGACGATGCAGCGCTATTTGATTTAAACTGCTGCCAAGGGCAAGGGAAAGGAACATGGAAAGGAGTAAGTAAACAACGCTGGCAAGGAAATTCCTCCTCTCCTTGCCAGCTATCCATCTGCTTCCTCCACTCCCACCTTCCTTTCCCTAGCATTTCGCGCTGGACTTACTGTTTTTTTGTTTTTTTTTCTTGCTCTTTTCCATTTTTTGTTTGCGTTGCAGTCTACCGCGAAAATGTTTCACGCTAACGCCCCGCAATTGCACAGTAATGTGACACATTTTTTTTACCACCTTTTGGGGCAGAAAATTGGTTTTCTAGATATGTGGGCCGGCTTGCATGAAGCAGAGTCTCGGTTGAGACTGCTCAAAGAAAGCGCTGTCAAGGCTAGTGCTAGAGCTTAAACCGAGTCCTAGACGCTCGCGCGCCCGAGCCTTGGCAGCGCTTTCTTTGAGCAGTCTCAACCGAGACGCTGTCTCTTGCAAGCCGGCCCAGGCATCTAGTTTGTTCTCCTTTCTACCTCAAATACTACAATAAGGCAGATGACTTAACTCCAACTATAAGGCAACATATCTCTCTTTTTTTTTTTTTTTCCACTGCTGGCAGCCACTTATTACGGTGCAGTTACCAAATCATTTCTTGCCCAATTTCATTTCCTTTTTCTCTAAACACACGACGCGCTTCGTGCACCCTGCTGTGCTGAGACCGTTTCTTCTCTGAACAGAGCTGCGCCGCGGCAAAATGTTAAGGCTGAAACACATTTACAAGAAAAGAAACCGAATATAGAACGGAAATCGGAGGGTGCAAAAATTGTTGCACGCAAATTTGGGAGACAAGTTACACGAGAAGACTGATCCCGCGCAAAAGGCAACGTCCTCCGCAGTAAAATTAATGCAAACAACACCAAACGTGCACTCATATATATATATATATATATATGACGCCGTGATTAGGACTTGACAGAATCATCGGATAAAAAGAGACTGGCGGTATCAGCTTTGGTTTTCGAAGCAACCAAGGCCTTCACGCACCGGTACAAAGACTGCTATTACAACAGATAAAGTAAACAGAAGCAACGTGCGGAAACCAGTGCACGTATGCCACCGGTCACGACATCCTTCTACAGCCACACGCTTGCCTCGTTCTTATTCACGAAGTTCCTGGTAGATTAATTCGTTCTTACATGCATGGAGTCAGCCACAATCGGCGCTCGATGTTTAGTTGAGATTGAGATGTGCACCGACACAAGCATCGGCCGACGTACAGTCGGGAGCAAACGTTTGCGGGGCACGGGAGCGACTGCCGAAAAGACTGGCTGCGCCTTCTCACGCACGTTGCTGCTCCAAGACTCACGCTATGCGCACGCGCTTCCTTTCTTAATCGCGGTCATGCTTTTTTCGCTCGCTTCCGTTCGACACGCACGATATATAACTGGGACTGGCGCAAGGTGCCGCGAAATGTTATCTGTAGCATGCGCGAGTTTCGTCACCTACCACGGTGGCTGAGGCAGACGCGCGGCGTGAGGGCTGTCATAGCGGCACCTTGCGCCGGTTATCTCGTGCACGTCGGGCGGAAGCGAGCGAAAAAGTCATGGCTTCGAGCACGAAAGGAAGCATTCTCGAAGCGCGAATCTTGAGAGCGGCCGCGCGCCGCAGAAGGCGCAACCAGTCATTTCGGCTGACGCTCCCGCGCCCCGCAAACTTTTACCGCCGACTGTACACGAGCAAACTCACCGCGATCTTGCTTTGCCCGAATGCCACAACACAGCGAACAGCCCACATAATTCTCAGTCTCCGCAATGCTCCGTTCACCACATACACGTAACACGACAAAGATTGGCGAAAATCAGTCTTCGTACAAAGCTGATCAAAAACCGCGGAAACACTCAACCAACCTCGGCGGCTGCCGCGGCTGCGCCATAGCGTAGAAAACCCGGAGAGGGACGGAACGGACGGAACTCCCGAAGTAACGTTGCGACATCGCTCCGTCCCCCTCCAAGTTTCCCCGCCGGAAAAAAAAAAAAAAAAAAAAAAAGGCAATAGGAGTTGCTGTCTGATTTTCGTTTGCGATTTCTTCATACAATTTGGCCGCTTTTCGCAAATGTGTTTCAGTCATGACTCATTACGTAGAGTCCGGCGCCGTCGCTACACAGTAGCGAACCAAGGAATGGAGAAAACTAAACTCAACGAACTCGAAAAAAAAAAAAAAGACCGCGGACTTAAAGACGTACTGCAAAGCATTTGAGTACTGGCAGTGTTAGACACGAAGGTCGAATCGATCAATTTAAAGTTTCCTAAATCCACACAAGTCTACCGTAACAATATGAGAGTGCACGGAAGCTAAATGTCGGCTCGGCACAAACGAACAAAAAAAAAAAAGGAATTTTGGCACTAGTTTTTTACACTTCGGTCAAACGTATATAGTATATTATTGTGGGCACTTGAAACCTCATTGCACTGTGTCGCTTTGCATGTTTCGAAACAAATTGCACCTGAACAGCACGTTATGTCGAACAAGCAGCTACCGAAAAAATCGGCGTGCATGGTCCTCGAACCGGACCAGGGACCTCTGCCTTTCCAGCGGAGCGCTAATCCAAGAGCGTTTCACGTAGCCGAATAATATTTCACTAAGAAGGGAGCAAGAAAAACGTAGAACACCGACACACTACGTCTCGTGATAATGCTAGAGTAACACTCGAAACCAACAAGGCAAAGACCCCGTTACCCCAAAACGCTACGCACCTCCAGCGCGAGGCACACATCGTCTGCACACGCTTGTGGCGAGCAATGCATAATAGTGAATCCAGACAACTGCTCGACTCATGTAAGAAAACAGTGGTGCGACAGGTATTCATCAAACAGTTCAAGGAAGGGGATGTAATGCACTTACCGTGAAATCTCCAGGTTTGAGTGCGGCGAACCAAAAACACGTCCACAAAGTCGCCGAATTGCGCGGGATCTGCCTCGACACGCTCACTGCGCATGCGCCAGGGGTGCCTTCACGCGGACAGCGTCCCACGGGAGCGCGGGAAAGAAGTTCACGTGACCTTCCGCCTCTCCGAATAAAAGGGCTGCATTGACTGCGCCTGCGCAGCGCGCCGGCTATGTCTGTTCGTTCGGGTGCGGTGGAGGGGTTTACGGCGAAACGGCAACGACGGCTCGCGAGCGGCTCTGGTCCCGTTGGCGCTCCCTGTAATTTTACGGTTTTTTTTAACAGTGTAGATACAGAAGGTTGCACTGGTGAGGGCAGTGGATCCTTCTTGCTCTGGGGTTTTGGACATCGCCAGCTTAAAAATAGAAATAAGCCGGCATCCACAAAGATGTGGTCCTTAACTCAAGTCAGTGGTTACACCTTTCATCTTGGCTGATATTAAACTCTTTGAATCTCCAAGAAACTGGCAAAAAATGGGTCCTCTCCGCCAGTAGACGTATGTGACTGAATTGTCTAGTAGAGGCTACCCGGAAAAACATAGGTTGATGACAGTTTTGTACGTAACGGGCGTTCCTGGAACGCGTTTCTTTTAGGAATACAGAAGGAACGCCGCCATTTTATTTTGCATCGGTGGAACTGGAACAGGAGCTCGTTAGCTTTTTTACAGGAACGGAAAAAGGAACGGCGTTTCATGTTTTCCTCCAGTTGGGTAATTTAATTTTATTTCTAAAAGGTATATTCTAAAAGTACCAAAACAGTACGTCTACGATGAGCAGGATCTCGTTAAATTTTTGGTTACTTAGCTTGGGTTTATTCTGTTTGTTCTTCGCTTGGTAACAGTCGGGTCCAGGAGAGCTAATGGACATCGATTCTTTTTTCAGGTCCCGAGACTGCGGTACAATAGGCAAAACTTTTAGCCGAAGAAAAAGGCACAAAAAGAGGGACGTTTCAAACTCAGCTATTTTCTTTGCACCCACGAATCCTCATACACTCAGATATCTAAGGCCGACTGCAGCCCTCACTGAATTTCCGCAAAGAGACATAGAGTCAGTCTTGGGTAGTAACGCGTTACTAGTAACGCGTTACTGTAACTTTGTTACTTTTTTGGTAACTTGTAACTGTAACGAGTTACTTTTTAAAAATGTAACTTGTAACTGTAGTTCTATTACTTTTTTCTGAGGTAACGATGAAAGTAACGACGTTACTTTTGCCGTTACTTTGCAGTGTTTTATGCATAATATATCACTGAACGAGTGCAACTTAGCCATTCCTTGTTGCACTTTCCAAATCGTCTATTCCGACATTTCGAGTGTCAAGTTGGCCTTGCACAAAGTTTTGAATACGTTCTTTCTCGCGAGTCACGATCTGAATATAGTCACGTGTAGATGTTATGAAAAAATATCTAGTTATCTTTACGCACGCGCTTGTACTTTGTGCCTGAACACTTACATTTTAGTGTCTTGAAGCACTACCTATGTTGTGTATTTTCTTCTTTTTTTGTGCAAACGCTTTTTAATCGGGTGAATCAACCGTAAAACAACAATACACGTGAAGGGCACTGCGCGTGTCTCGTATTTTGATTAGCGCCACTACTCCGCACTGCGCATGTTTCGTATTTTGATTTGCGCCACTACCCTGGCGTGGAAACTTTCAAACAGTAACTTCGAGAAGCAACTGGTGCTAAGTTAGAATATGAAGTAAAAAGCGTACTTTTTTTTTAATTTTATGCAATAAAACGTTGTGAGGGGCGTTTTCTAGTTTTTCCTAAATTTTTTTTGTGTTATAGAAAAGTAACTGAAAAGTAACGTCGTTACTTTTTAAAAGTAACTGTAACTGTAACGAGTTACTATTTTGTTGCAGTAACTGTAACGGTAACTTCGCTACTTTTTTCTGAAAGTAACTGTAACTGTAACGAATTACTTTTTAAAAGTAACTTACCCATGACTGCATAGAGTTATAACAAACGAACAGGTTACCTGACATCAAACAAACCGTTGTATCCCGATCATTGGTCACTTAAAAGATACACAAAAATTAACCTTTATTGCTTCTCTCATTGTTCCCCACCCTAAAACTGAACAACGAATCCGACCTTCACAAAGACTTAAGACTTGTAGTTTTCAAGACTGCTCTTCCAAAATCCCTACCCTCTTCTTAACTTGCTCGTCTTGTGGACAGCAACATCACGAAGCAACTGTTGTTAAGTTCACACAAGGGACTTAGAACCAGTCATGGGTAAGTTACTTTTAAAAAGTAATTCGTTACAGTTACAGTTACTTTCACAAAAAAGTAACGAAGTTACCGTTACAGTTACCGCAACAAAATGTAACTCGTTACAGTTACAGTTACTTTCAAAAAGTAACGACGTTACTTTTCAGTTACTTTTCTATAACACAAAAATTAAGGAAAAACTAATGTTTGAAAGAAAAAATATAGACACGAATCAGTCGGGCTTTCACCATAGCGGTAAATTCAAACTTAATAATTTAGCTGGAAAATTAGTCAATATTATGAAAAGAATAAAGACAAAAATTGAACTGGATGTGTTTTCTCAGATTTGAACATGAAGACTTATTGTCGGAGTACTCCTTGTTGCAAAGTTTGCATACTGCGGTCAAATAGTTAGCAACCAACTTCACCACAGAAAAATACTCTGTACGCCGGCCATGCTTGTTCTTTGTTCTGTTCTCATCAACATCCCTATCCTTGTAGCACTAGCACATTGCTGGCTCGTTGACGGCTGCGCTGTGTTCGTGGACTCCTTTGATATATTTCAGTTCGTACCCGGCAAACCCGAAACAAGCCCTGCGCAAACAACAGTAAATTTTGCCTCCACCGTTGAAACCACGCCGGAGTAGTGGCGCAAATCAATATACAAAACATGCGCAGTGCGGAGTAGTGGCACTAATCAAAATACGAAACATACGAAGTTCCCTCCGCGTGTATTGTTGTTTCACGGTTGATTCACCCGATTAAAATGCGTGCGCAGAAAAGAAAAAACCGCAACATAGGTAGTGCTTCAATATACTAAGATGTAAGTGTTCAGTCACAAAGTACAAGCAAGTGCGTAAAGATAACTACATTCTTCTTTTTTTTTTCTTCATCAAATCTACACGTGGCTATATTCGGATAGTGACTCGCGAGAAAGAACGTATTCTCAAGTTTGTGCAAGGCCAACTGACACTCAAAATGACGGAACAGACACTTTGGAAAGTGCAAGGAATAGCTAGATTATACTCGTTTAATGATATATTATTCACAAAGAACTGAAAAGTCACGGCAAAAGTAACTTCGTTACTTTCATCGTTACCTCAGAAAAAAGTAATAGAGCTACAGTTACAAGTTACATTTTCAAAAAGTAACTCGTTACAGTTACAAGTTACCGAAAAAGTAACGAAGTTACAGTAACGCGTTACTAGTAACGCGTTACTACCTAAGACTGCTTAGAACGTATGATGTTGTAAAACGGCTGTGCAATGTGGAGTAACAGTCCATTTGGCTCGTATAAATTGGCCGCCAAAAACATGTTATGGTTAAAGTCGTCAGGAAACAATTTTCCAACTTTCCTCCTGTTTAGCTTTCCTCCTCAACTCACAAATCGCGCATTGTACCAAATAGTTCAAGAAGACGGAAAAGAAGGAGTCTCATCTTGCTCGGACCCTCGTTCGTGTACCCGGACACAGCCATTCTATTCTTAGAAGATTAGTCCGTCACTCAAAACTCGAACAAAAATTGCTTTTCCCACACCGTTCACCCATAAGCTGATAGTGCTGTAGAAGCTACGTGCTCTTTTGGCCAGCCACACTTTTGCCACGTGATCGCGCTCCCTCGCGCATACCCACGCGAAGAGAATGAAGTCAGGTGATGAAAAGGAGGCGGCTGATTGGTCCGGGAAGCGCATTGTTTCCACCGCACTGCCAGCTCAGGCTGAAGAGAATAAGCGAGGTCCGGTG